GAGCGGCCGCCGCTGCACCGCCGCAGAGGGGTAGGGAAGCGAACTCACCGAGCTCTGGGCGCCGATAAGAGGAGCCCTGGACGCTGGCTCCCGACCTCCCCGAGGCTGCAAAGTTGTGGGCTCGGCCCCGCTGGCTCGCAGCCTTCTCACGATTCGCTTTGGGGACTGGGCAGGTAGCGGGGGTGTGGGGAGGAGGGAGCGGGCAGCTGCGGCCCTCCCACTTGGGCGCCAGCAAGTGGGGCCAGGAAGCGGCAGGGATGGCAGCTAGGTGCCCCCCAACCCTTCTGGGGGCGGCGCTCTGGCTAACCCTCTCAGCGTCGTGGACTTGCCCCCCACCCCTCCCCTTGTTCCCTGGAGCAGGCTGGGGCACCCTGCCTGACTTCAGCCACGGTTACAACTGGGGTCTGGGTTCAGCCTGCTGTGGATGCTCTAGTCATCACCTGCTCTTGCCTTTCCGCTGTGGCTGACCACCCTCCCTGCTCTCCACTCTGGGCCAGAGAGAAGCCCCGGGGAGGGGGGGGTAGAGCTCAGCCTGCCAAGGGAAACACCCATAAAGATCAGCGTCATTGTCACAGAGGGGTTGAGACCCCGACTCTGGAGCCCGTCTCCCCAGGTCTGAATATCCACCATTCACTACTGTGTGATCAGATTCCAGTCTCCTCGTCTGTAAAACAGAGGTGTGAGGATTATATGGCAATATATGTAAAGCCTTAAACAGGGCCTGCCCATGGTAAGCGCTATTTGCGTATTTGTTCATAATTACTGACACTATTTCCTGGGCTCTGGAACCAGGCACTGTGCTACGCCTTTAGCATAAGGCAGCTTTGTTCATCTCGGCGGAAGCTCAGCGATCCCCACTGTATGCATGAAGAGGTTGAGACACAGAGACGCCAAGTCACACGTCCAGGGTCACACAGCAGGTAAGTGGCAGAGCCTGGATTTGAACGAATGCAACTTCTTTCAGCCTCTACGCAACCCAACATCACTGAGACCCAGGGGGAGCTCTCATGTGGGAGAAGGGAAGACAACAGAGCGGTTTATCCAGACACAGAGCTTGAACCAGGAGCGTCTGCCTGGCACCCTGTCCCATCTCCCTGTTCCTATTTCCTTCCCCTTCCTGACTCCACTATTCTGTGGTGGGTACTAAGGGGCACCAAGAGGGTGGGGACACTTGGCCAGTGTGTGTCAAATGGGGGCAGGGGTGAGGGAAGCAGAGGGAGCTTTAGAAACTGCAGGAATATTGGAGCCAGCACCACTACCTCAGTTTCCTGGGCTGTCATGGCTCACCCCTGCCCCACTCTACTCCTCTGGATGAAAGCAAACATAATAAATAAATAATTGTTTATTGCTTTCTCAACTGGTTGATTAAAACAAGAGCAGTCCCTTAAAATGAGGGCCATATGCTTATCAGCTCCACTTATATTTTGGAATCATCAGATACTGTTTTCTCTGTATTTTATCAGTGTGTGTCACAATAAAAAGGGGGCCAGGAAACCTTTTCATGTTCTGAAAGGGTCTTACATATAAGCAAAAAATCCAGTGTGGACACATTTGCCAGGTGTTGGTCTCTGAGAATCTGGTAGCCCTGTGAGTTCCAGTGGACACAGGGCAGACAAGTGGTCTTTTTTCCTTTAGAGCCCTTTGTGTCAAGATCATGGCTGTCTGGGCCCTTTTCACAAGCTCTGCCTGCCTCTCACCTTGGTTTGGGAGGCAGGAAGCCTGGAGGCCTTGGTTTGGGCTGTATTGATTGAAGATCTCTGTTCTCTAAATACCTTGAAACTCCGGTGGTATTTCTAATTTTATTTTGCGTGTGTGTGTGGTTGGAAGGTGTGTGTCTGAATTTGTATGTGTTTGAGGGGAGGGGGAAAGAGAGAGAGAGAGAAGCTAAATGAATGTGGGAAGATATCAGTGGGGGAAGGGAGTATTCAGCCAGGAGAGAGACAGAGAGCTGGCTGTGGAATGGACAAGAACAATTATTTATTTAGAAATATAGTTGATCCACAGAAAAGGACATTAAAACTTCAGATGTGGACTTAGTAGTTCCTCAGCCCCCTCCCCTTCAGTGAATGGAGTAACAGGAAGTAGAGCCAAATGTTATTTGGTTTTCAAAAATTGGTGCTTACCCCTGAAAAAATCAATAGGGAGGTCAATTGAAAAACTTCACTTTGATTCTGGCCCCGTGAGAATGAAGCAGACTAAGAACAAACGCTTTCTTGCCACTTACCAGCTGTGGGACTTGAGCAAGTCACTTAACCTCTCTGCTGTCAGCATTCTCATCTGTAGAATGGGTTGAAGATGTTACCTTGTGGTGCTGATGATCAGATGGGATAATGTAATTTAAGTGCCTCAGTCCCAGCAGGAGATTGGATGTTAGCTTCTTCCTGCTCCTACTCTCTTCTGGGCCCTTATCTTTAGCCACAAGAAAAGCCTCATCTTTCCAACTAAAATAAGAGCTCTTGGCCTATGTTGGAAATATTTGGGGGGTCTCCTCTGTATCTCCTAACATCATGATTTGCCCAGAAGAGACACTGAGTTAAAGTGTATCAAATGATGAGTTGATACTGGTCTCTTTCCGAGAGGAAAAGCTGTGTTTCAAGGTCTTTGAAATGTCTGGTGAGGACACAGTTGCCATTGATCTTGAATTCTGCTGCCACCCACATCAATATAGTCTCATCCTTCATAAACAACATCAGAAAATAATTTATAAACCACATTCTCCATTGCCTTTGTCATATATTCTTACAGTTAGGCTGTGACTGTACCTGCAGGCTATCCCAAGGGGGCGGTAACACAGACAGGCATCTGATTGCTGCCGACCGCTTTCCCAGAAATATGTGCCATAAATTTTGCTATTTGGTGGTGTTATTTGAATAAAATGAATTCCCTCCCAGTGGCAATCATTCCATTTTGCCTCCAAATGTTGTGTACAAAGAGAGGAAATCTATGCAGCCAGCCACTTCTGCCTTGGGTGGGGAGCCCCACACACATGCTCTCCATCCCGAGTTTGGGGTGGAGAACATTCCAAGATTCAAGGGACCACAGCTAAGGAGGCTCTGGGGATTTTCCTTTATTCTCATGTTCTTATTTCAGATTGATCAGGGGGAGTGGAGGATATGGACTGGGGTCTCAAGGTTAACCGGTGCCCAGAAATTAAGGTTTTAATAGACATCCTTCAACAGGATACTCTTTACTGCCAATAGCCAGTCAGAGGCAACCACAAAGTGCTCTCCAAGTCTCAGAAGGCTCAGTGAGATGCCTTCTGGCGTGCCTGGATTTGGAAAACATACAAGTGTAATCTTCATCTTAGCCAACCGAGTATATGAGAATTGGATTATCGCAGAATTTCTGTTAGGAGGTGATAATTTACTTGGCCAACTATGTCTTCATTTTAACAATAATATTACTTTGATATAATAAAGTGCTTTGTAACCTTAGAAAGCACATCCACAAAATTAAAATTTCATTCCATGAGTCTCTCAGCAGCCCTGTAAAGCTAGCTGGGACAAAAATGATTAAACCCATTTTTCTTATGAGGAGACTGAGGTTCAGAGATTTGTTGCACATTGATTTGCAAGCCTTGCCTATGTTGGGACTAAAATGTGATTTAACAGGCAAACATCTTATTGATACGTTTTCTAGAACATGTCACTTGCATAAAGGAAGCAGGTATATAACCTACTCCTTCAAGATGAAAGACCTGCATGATCTCTCTTTATGTAAGATATTTATGTAAAATTATGTAAATAAAGCAAGCCTGCAGCACATTAATCAAATGCTCTCAAGCATTTTGCGGTTTGTGGTGCTAGAGTGTGTATGTGATCGGGGGCAGGGCTCCTCAATCGTCATCCAAACCCACATGTCAAGGTCTGAATGTCAGCCTCTGGGTGACAGGTAACCCCAGAGGTCTCCCTGGTGATTGATGCCTCAGGGTGGAAATCTTGGCTTGGCTGGGCAGAGCCTCCTCTGGAGCATTCAGGCTGTGGAAGAATGAATGTAATCTTTTACCAATTAGCCCTGGTTCCCAGGGAGAGCTCAGGCAGTCCTGGTAGGGAGGCCTATGCCTGTGGACCAGTGTGCCGCTTAGCAGGGGTGGCAGCAGCGAGGCTAAGCAGCTCTTTCATCTGAAAGCACACAGGAGGGAGAAAGAGGGGCTATAGGGACAGCAAAGAGGAGAGGCGGAGGGAGGAGAGGGAAATGAAGAGAGGAGAGAAAAGAAGAGGGGGGTTGAGAGGGTGAATGCTCATCTGACACAGCCTTGCTTTATGTCTTCGCGATGGAGGGCCCAGGAGGCGCAGGGGAGATGGGCTGTCTCCACTGAGAAGCCTGTAATGCCGGGGGTCCTGGATGGAAGGGAATGAGACAAAAGGTTGACATCTCAATTAGAGGAGGAGGGAGGTGAGGTCAGGAGAATGAGGTCACTGCAGTGCCCTTGGCTGTTTATAGGACTCTTAGAAATGTAATGGTCACAGAACAGCAGGCAACACAGAGCTCACACCCTTGCCTCCCTCTCCTGCCCTGTTCCAGCAGAGATGGCCCAGGCCCAGGAGAGAGGCAGTGTGGTGTGATGAAATTAGCATGAGCTTTTGGCCTAAGCTTTGGAATCTGCTGACCTGTTTTCCCATTCATTTGCTGTGTGACCTTGAGCAAGTTCCTTAGCCTCTCTGAGCCCCAAATTCCCTGTCCATTTAATGGGAATTTTAGCTATAGCTTGTAGAATTTGTCGTGAATTTTAAATGACAAAGATACCAACTCAATAGCACCTGCCCTTTCTACTGAAATTTCCCCCAGCTACCAGCTGGCAAATAATCCTGCTTATGGCATAGCACTTCCTGCCTCTATGATGAATTATTTGTTCGTGTCTCTATTGGTCTGTTTATTGTCTCTTTGCATCTGATAGACTATAAGGGCATGGATTTACCTGTCATCTTTATTTTCGTAGCCTAGACTCAGCCCAGAGCTTGGCACGGTGAGTGCTCAATAAATATTAGAAAAACTAAGAAACAGTCTTTGAGGACAAAGGGGAATCTATACTTTGATTGTGATGGTAGTTACATGACTACGTTTGTCAAAATTATAGAACTGTGCCCTGGCCAGTTTGGCTCAGTGGTTAGAGCACTGGCTCGTAGAATGAAGGGTCCTGGGATCGATTCCGGCCAAGGGCACGAACCTCAGTTGCAGGCTTCATCCCTGGCCCAGGTCAGGGCGCTTGAGGGAGGCAACCAATCGATGCATCTCTC